AGATGAATAGATAACAATTGACAGAAATATCACAAATACACACTTGTGTGTGTTTGTGATATTTCTGTCAATTGTTATCTATTCATCTTGTTGCTATTCTGTGGTCCCGACAGTGAGAGTGTTTTACAGATGATTTCTTGTCATCCCAAACCTCTGCCTGTGATTTTGGTGCGTCTAGTCCCACGAGTGTTAACATTGCCACTCTTGTACAATTCTTTGTACTCCCAGTTTGGTCTTGCAGTTCTGTATGTTGGGTCAATGGTGTGTCAGCTGAAAGTCTCGGGCTTTGTTACTGCATGTTCATGGAAAGTCTAAATGTCACAGGTCAAGGATTATGATGCACACAAGTTTAGTTATCAGCAACGTACATCTGGCACTCACTGCTCATCAGTAAGCAATCCAACTTTAAAGTCATTCCCTTTCTTTCAGTCCAGGCTATAGGTTATACATGTACCTACATGCACTAACAAGTTACCTAGCAACAATTTCTCTTTGGCATATTACAGCACTGACTGAAATGCGTATTTCACTGAATGATGTACATATATGTTGTTTTTTCTCAACTCAAGCATGCCTGGCCAGGTGGCAATTTGTTTTTTTATACAACACACTGGGGAAACAACTTCAATAATTTAAGCTTTTTGGGGTCAAGTTGGCATAGTAGTTCTTTCCTTGCCTTCCACCTCTCAGCCCAGGTATGATTCCTGGCTTGGTCCACATGTGGATTGGGTTTTCAGTCCCTACGTAATTTTGTGGGTTTTACACGAACATTCCTCTGGGGATTTCCTCCCAAAAGGTTTCTTCAGGCTTACGAGCTACAGTGCCTATGGCACTTTTGAGGAATCCTCAAGTGGCTTCATCCAACATAAAAAAAAATCCAACATTCCAACTGGGGAAGCTTCCATGAGATGTGAAGACCAGTCTCTTATGACAGGCAATAAAACCATATTTCCATAAGAAAGTACATGATGTATCCCCAGACAGATGTGTAATAAGAAAACATGGTTCATGTACCAGGAAAGAAGACTGTTCCTACTATTACCATAGAGGAAGGACACAGAAGGAGTTTGCAACTCGGGCACTTCAAAGTTTTCAATTATGGTCACCGCCGAGTCAGACGAATAATAGAAACCATTCCAAAAATGCCTGATTACTGCCTGCATCTTAGCCAGACAAGCGGGGCCAGTAATATCTTAGCAATACTTGTAGTTTTGCTTGCAATTAAATACAAATTATCGTTGTAACCAGGAAATATATAGAGAAAAATCCCTGATATTAGACCTACTTTTGCCATCGTAAATAAACTTTTAAAATTTTGATACACTGTTCCATTATCCTTGCAAAGTTTGTAATTTTTTCCCCTCCCTTGAATACATCAGTGTTCAAAGACTTGGTACAAATTTGGCTAAGACTGGCCAACAATATGTTGACTTTTACTGGAAACCTAAGTTCATAAGTAACAAAGGGGCTATTTCATCACAGGGAGTGATCGTGAAATTTCATAAAATACGCTTTTGTGACTGGTTTTCATACAAAATTAGTCATTAAAAAACTGTGTCTCATGCAAACTTGCATTTCAGAGAATGGCATACATTTCCCAGCAAAAAAACATGGTTTTGTTAAGAAGTTTTCCAGTAATACAATGGTTAAAGTCCATGGTTTGTCGTAAAAGAAATAGATTTAACTGGGTTGGGACACTTGACAAAATTGGCGCTCTCTGGCTGAGAACAGTTGTATAAAAGTAAACACGAAAACTCATATTTTCATTCAATCACTGGAATTTATTCTGTAGGAAACATTTTCCAGCGTGAATTTCTGATTTCCTCGCACTCATTAAGACCCCTTCACAAAAAAAAACCCAGGTCAATTCCCTCTAAACATTGTTGCGTCAGTGGCATGTATCCATAACCCATAATCTTGTGATGCCTTCTTGGAGGACAGTTTGGAGAAGAAAAAACAAGCACCCCACTTGAACATCCAGCATCAGCATGACATGGATACTTGGCAGATTATTCAACACCCTCATGTAACCCTTTACATGTGTAAGGTAATTGCATGCATCCACAATGAAGTCATCCTTGTGACAAATGAGGATGTTACTACTTTGCACAATTCCAAACATCACACACAGTTTTTCTTTGAACTGTTTTATGCCTGATACAATGACCTGAGTTGAAGTGCATCATTACTGGCAAGTAATATAAGACAGGCCAGTGAGACGTTTTTCAAATGGGCTCTTGTACGCATTGGGCATGCATGTGGAAATTAAATTTTGTTGGAATTACATTCCAACAAAATTTACTTTTGTGTACTCCGTATGTTCTGTGCCTTAGGCACCTGAACGTGAGCATGCAGTGATGAGTTCCCACCAATGGACCATCACTGCAATGTAAACACCCTCTCTTGTTCCCACTTGGTGCGGATACCTACAGGGCTTACAGTACCCAGGTTGCTCTGTGTAAATATGTATACATGTTTGTGCATACAATTGAAGGTTGAATTCTCACATTGACTTTAATTGATAGTAAAGTAATCATTCCATTTGCCGAGTGACTAATGGAAATAGTTTCATGAAAGTGAATGTTGATATCTTTCAGAACATGAATTGTGGTCTTGTCCAAAACTAAATGTGTCTATGGTAGTGTCACAGAATGCAGCCACTTACAATACTGGCCATAGACTGGCACGTAATTTCAAGTGATGGCCAGGTACAGGTATACAGCCTAAGTGTTAAGTCATATCACTTAACAAATCTTGCCTACTGAGTAGGGGCAAATGGCACTCGAGGCAAAGTCGTGGGTATCATTTGCCCCTGAGGGTATACAAAACCCACGGACCCCCTCACAGCAGGCAACAATTGTTTTGTTATAACATGGTCATAAATTACACTGGAACGGTCTTCTATGTGTAATATACACAGATTTTATTGCAGTATAAATGAAACACTTTGACAAATTTAAACACTAGAACAGCATAATGAATATCAAATTACAAGCAAAATTTCAATTGATTGTGGTGTCCTCTGTTGAGCCGGGGGGTTTGTTTTTTGTTTTTGAAAGAGAGAGATCTAGGATTAACAACAAACTGGTTTGAAGATTCATAAAGCACAGGGGTTTTGTTTACTGATTGAATTCAAGACATTTACACAAAATTCCCATTGAAAAATATAGGCAAGATTGGCGAGCAGATAAGAGACAACATGAGTGTTTAAAGAAACAAAGGCAGTCACAACAGAAACAGCATGTTACTCATGTTCCATGGACATAGCTAGGCACAGAAACCAAAGTCTAATAGCCAACGGGTCTCTGGTCAGAGTATGGAATAACACATACGGTATCCTCCACTCAGCACATCTACAATAATCAAAGCACAGTACCAGCATGGCTCTCCATCCTCATACCCAAGGTTACACAATTTCAACCCAGTGAATTTGACATATCAACTGTTAGAAAGATCACCGTTATCCATCATTTTTTGTAGCACGGCAAAATCGCCAATGCACTCGATCATAAATGATACACAAATGCTTGTTCAGTATCACGTGATCAATTCACAACCAATAAAAATACGACCGTGATATGTCAGGCGTACTTGATACAGCTTGCATATGTGTGTAGGGTGATAAAATTGCCCCATCTATGTGCGAGGAGCTGGTTCACGATCGCTCAAAGTGGAGGGACACCATCCAAAAAGGGGTTGATGCTGCTGAGAATATGGGTAAGGAGGCAACAGAAGAAAGGCACAGGAAGCCCTTGCAGCCCTGGTGCCCCTCCAGGCTACACTTGCTGAGTATGTACTATGTAGCAAACAATACCTTTCAAGAACTGGCCAGTATACCTACTCTATGATGCACACATCAATCCTCACTGACTGAAAAGGAACCGTTATTATCTTATGGAATGGATAGCCATTAGCCAATGCATGACACAACGTGCAATTCTACCAGCACAGGAAAAAAGTGAATGCAAAACTTAAGAAGACCTCTAAACTCAAACAGTGGGTAACCAAAACAAAAGTTTGGGAGCAACAGAAAAAAAGCAAACAGAAACTTCATGGAAATATTGAAAATATCATGCCAAAAGAATTTGCAGCCAAGTCTAAAGATCTGAGATGACATAAAGTAGAAAAACTTCCACCCAATTGTCTGGCTAGACAAAGATGATAGAGATGAGCAAGGCAAAGAAGGAAGCACTTTCATGCTGGAAAGGAAAAAAGAAATGAAAGTAAAACAAGGAGCAAACCAGGAAAGAAGATAAAGATAACAAAAGAAACGACAGAAAGCAAAGACAAAGACTAGAGCACCATGAAGAGTACAACTAAAAGCAGAGATGAGTATCCTGAATAGAAAGCACAAGACAGCAACAAGAATGTCTTAGGGAGAGACAATGCCTAGACCTCGAGACACTGTCAATTTGTGCTGTTCAAGCCACATGTGCAACAAGTAATGAATCTCTACCTGCAGAGCCATCCTGCTTAACAGCCAGAAGGAAGCAGTACTTGAGATTGAAGAAGCATCATCAAATATCACACATTCTCTGAGGTTGTGGACAGTCCGTTAAATCACCATCATCTCATATGGTTTCAGCATGCTGAGTTCACAGCTATAGCGGATCACAAGTGACAGTCTTTAAAACAGAACTTGTTGACATGATGTCAAAGAAGGGTCTCCAAAAAGCAAGTAAACAAAGTTGTCACAGCTGCCAAGAAGTCAGTGAGGAATGGTTAGTGAGATATGAAAGGCATTAATAAAAAACAATAAAACTCTTAAAGAAACAAAACATTAGGCCTCACCATGGCAGCCATCAATTTGTCACCAACACCTTCTTTGAATCAATGGCACACTCACTACCATACTTAATTTGATGTCAATGAGAAAAGTCAAGGCATATCAGTGTCATAAAATAATCTGGGCGTGGATTCAGCTGTCCTTACTTCTTGAAATTAAATCAATGTTCATAGTTTATAAGACCCATATAAATCTTGGCTGACATGAAGTTTTAATATACAAGGATTTTTGAAGTTAAATACTTATACATTAAATCCTCAATTTAAAGTGGCATAATAGTATACAACAAAAAAAAGCCATCCAGAGATATTTGGGTCGGTTGGGCAAGGGCAACATTTGGTGGCTCTTGCATACACATAACTCCAAGTTCACACCATGATGAACGGCTACCTTTATGCCATTTTGATGTAATCATAAGATGCATGATTATCTACACCAAGTAGAAACACGAGAGGGCATGGTTTTAAATAGCAACAACAGTCCTTTGGTGGGAACGTACCCCATGTGTGCACAAGTTCATACATGTTTGGCGTAAGACATGCTACACATGCTCTGCTTGAATGTACAGTCAGTGTGTGTGCAGAAGCCCAACTGACAAACATCTTACTTCTTCAGCCTGTCTCTCCCTTGCCGCTGAGGGTGCACTTCAACTCAAGGGCTGACACTTCTGCCCCAGTTGAGAGTGTTCCCTTGCTTACATGCAGGTCAGGAGTACACTCATATTAATTAACACGAGTAACACACTCCACTGCAGCCTATAAGCACTCAGAGTTAGAATGTATGCACAGTAAGCTGGATGTTGATAATTATTTAGGAAGCTACAAACGGCAGGCTAATATATAAATAATACAGGCATCTCACATTAGTGCGCCTCCAAGAGTTTGCAACCCACTGGCCAATCATAATGCATCAAATCTGTCTACCCAATGCACATTTGGAAAGGGTCAAGAGATTTCCACATTGTGATCGACAAACACATTGCAAACTCTTGGAGGCGCCCTATTGTGAATCATCCAACACAAAAGTCCATTCAGTTACATTTTTAAATAAATTATTTATTTAATCTGTCCCTAAAGTCAAATATAACAATCTTCCTCAGTAAAACACATCCTCAAGAATGGCTAACTCAACTTTGTCTGTTCCAATCCTGGTTATATGAATAAGTGCTGGGTCATGGTCTACTGGGCTGTGGACTTCTTTGTAGAAGAATTGACTGGAGGAGAATACCTGAAAGAGACAAACAAATGCAAGCTACTCATCTCTGTTCAAAACACTGTATTACATGACTATGCATCAATGAAGATCTGATGTCTAAGGAAAACATCAAAACAAAGATGAACAGAGATGTGAACAGGTGCAAGCCATTTCCTTGTGAAACTTGCACATGTAACTGACAAGCTAGTGCAGACAGCTCCAAGCATGAACATATACATGTATGTTGAAAAGGAAGCTTTTTCCTTGAAAAGATACCACCATAGTTGACAAATAGCTTCAAATCCACAGTGATCACCACAAAACGACCAAAATGAAAATAACACTCATTTCAAGCAATAAATAAACATCCTAAACGCAATAGTGTGCATGAACTTTGAAAACTGGGAAAGATAACTGTATAAAGTTACAAAAATGACTGACATGAATGAAAAATTACAAGCATGACAATTGAAGACCAAAACAACACTGTACAAGGCATGGACTGTTTATCTTACCTGTTGCAACAGAGACATTGAGGGAATCAATACCTGCATGTAACTGCCTGCCAGCTGGTATTGTCAACAGTTGACAACATTCATTCTGAATGCTGTCGGATAAACCACTGCCTTCCCCTCCTGCAAATAATCAGGACAAAAATCACACAGCATTTAAGTATAATTCAGGAGTGAAAACATGGAAGACTCCTAGTGCATACACCAAAGCATGTAAAATTCACACGTACACATACAGGGTACAACAGATGGCAAAGTAACTTGGAATCAGTTACATTGTATAGCAACAAGTTTCTCTGTACATGAATTGAATAGTCCTGAGTTGCAAGAGTGCTTTGGTGGTTGAATAGGGATATGATACAAACTACACAAATGATTTGAATACAATTCATTTAGTACTTTATTAATGCCGCATTTTGAATTTAGTACCTATACCACAGTCACAATACATGTAGTTGAGACTGATGTCAAAAATAAACTGATTATCAATATCATGCATACATGCTTTCTAAACTCAAAGAGGCCAAAAGATCTCACTTGAAAGTAGCTGATTTCCAAAGAAATCTCAAAGCACTCACTGATAACCTCTATTATCATCCACCATTTAACAAATTTACATGTAATCATTAGACCTAAGATCTAACAGAAACAAATGATAGTTTGCAGAAATCAGATGGAGTTACGACAGAAAGGTACATGAACATAACCTACCAATAACTAAAACAGTTGGTTTGTTGAGTAGGAAGCTTGCAGCACCACACACATTCATTGTATGTTTGAAGTGTCCATTACCAGAAGCACTAGTAGAACCAGCAATCTCCCAGCCATTATCTTTCTGTTTCTATCAATTTCACATTATTGAATAAAAATCTGTATAAAATTTAAAACCAACTACTTTGGATCACTCTTTGGTTCCCCTGATAAATTAACCCTGACAAGCAGCAATATAGCATAAAACCAACACATCAATATAATGACATGGTTCTGGAATTGAAGAGCTTATTTCCAAAACATGCTACTATATCCATTTGAAAATTACAAAATTTTTCTATGATTATTAGAAAATACACACTTTGTGTACTTACACCAGCCGAAACTGAATTACGACAAGCAAGACACAATAGGATTCAAGAAAGTGTAAAAATGACAGTCATCATGTTTTGGAAACTCTCTTCAACCGAATCTGATTTCTCAATCAACTGTCTTGTAGTGACAACTGCTGTCAAAGTTTGAAACAAGAAATGGAATGTTCTATTGACTTGAGGTAAGTGTGAGCTTGTCTCAAAAAAGGGGGTCCCATCTTGAACTCCACTTGTTCAATAGCACATTTTATTCAAACTTGGTATGATTTCAACCAATTAGACAATGCATTTGGAATTATGGTCATTGAATCTGCAGTAATGTCCCTAAGTGACACTTTTCCTATGCATGGATAAAAAGAAAACACAAAAACTGGGGGTGAGACATTTTACAAGAACTGTGCAGATGGTGTAAAAATATCCACAAGATATCAGAACACAAACTGGTGAAGACACTACATGGTGGGGGAATTTTAAAAGCATGGGGGTAATCAGAGTTACAGGTACTGTACATGTATGTACCATCTTGGTTAAGGAACAAGGTTACACTCAGTTAGTGCCCAATGAAGGGAGATCCAAGAGATTTGTACACCTTACAAGGAATATGGTACTCTTAGTTTCAACTCAGGTACCCTTCACCTTGAGATTCAAGGATGTACGAAAACCAAAGAACCGAGATTGTTTTGATACACCAGTGCACTTTTTTATTTAAATCAAGAAGAAGCAATCATGGAGAAAGTTTGAAAAAATTTTCAGAATGACAAAAAAAGGAGAACCTGTCTTGCACATATGTATATCAATACGTGCTCATTGCAAGCAAGACTGTGATTACAACATTGGGATTATTGTTAGCAATGTTCTTAATGCAATTACCTGAATAAATGTCAGTATACTCCTGGTAGCATAGACTGGCATGACTTCCATGACCCCACTACTAGCCTTACTGACAACTGGAGTCAACGAACAACTGACAACAAATGACATATTGGTATGGTGTTAAGGTGATGAGATAAAATATGCTGATCTCATCAAACAGAACATAAAATACAGAGTACTTTGTTTCCTTCTATCATCATGATTATTGATTTATGCAACATTCATAAATACCTAGGACAGTTCATATTTATCAATTCCAAATGGTCCAGAGCCCATCCATTGGCTGGTGTCAAATGGTTGATAAGATACCAGCCAGGTGTGTTGAGGATCAGCCAAAATGACAGTGACCCCCTAACAAGGACATACATACTTCTACCCTACACTGCAATTCGTTCTTGGAGTGACATCACAATTTCAAAATGTATTTACTTTTTTCAAAGAAGCCAAAAGTAGTGGGTGGGTTTTGAAGATCAGGCAAATTTGACGTAAGAGAATATTTAAAACCTTTCATGAGTTTTAACATAGAAATAATTAGAAAAGAAGTGATAAAAGTAATCTTCTTGCTTAAGCCTGAAAGTTGATGTAAAATATCATCTGCCAATTAGTTCTTTGCATCAATGTCAGGAATGCTAGGCTTACTGCACTTTTGTGTGCACCCACACCTACCGGAGCATACCGTACATACTGTATATACCTATCGTTTCTGGCCTACATGTATTTACTCTTCCTCCAAGCTGAAAAATAAGTTACTTCCAAAATTGAAATTCATTTTTAAAGCTCACCATTAAATTCCACTGTGCATCCATGTACATGTAGAAATGTCATTCTTGTTCCCCAGAAAAAGAATTTTCAGGTGTCAACAAATTTCAAACTATGTTTTTGTTTACATTTTGAATGACCCTTTAGATCATCTATGGCAATAATGGCCATTTTAGTTTGGTCAACTGTCTGGTTTGTGTCATGTAAACCATCTTACTGAATATACATGTATAGAGGCAGAAAAACCTTTCACAAAGGCCTTTGAACATGGATAGGAAAAAAAAGGACACAAAATAGCAAAACAAGAAAGTTCACATTTGAAAATTTCAGGGATTTTAGCCACATTCTACTTGGTATCAACCTTAACCCCCTAGGGTGTATGTAAAATCATATTGAAATTGGAGGATTTGGAACTGTTAGGGTTAATAAATGGAAATAATTATGTGCTTCACCAGTTTTTAACATATACCCATTTAAGACTGGACAAGCATATATTTATTCCTTTAACTGTATAATGCTCGTTCATGTCTGGTGTATAAACATTCAGAGAGCCAGTCAATCAAATTCAACTGGATAACTATAAAAAAAGAAATACCTGTGAGGGAGGTACGGGCTGGCATAACTAACAAGGAAGGGGAGGTACGGGCTGGCATAACTAACAAGGAAGGGGAGGTACTGGCTGGCATAACTAACAAGGAAGGGGAGCTTTTTGGGTGACAACAGGGCTCCTTACATGTATGTTAGTACATAGAAAATAGAATCGTGATGTGAGACCATTGCTTTCTTACCAATGCTGCTTGCTTGCTATGATTTTATCCACACCCAAGTAGTATGCTGACCTTATAATTGCACCCATATTCATGGGATCCTGATGAGCAAAATTTATACAAATAAAATAAACAAGGAAATGAATGAATTGAAAAAGTAAAAACTTTCAACAGCAATTAATACAATGTACATGTAGTTCTACTGTCTCTGATAGAGAATTAACGTACATTTTAATCTATAAATGATATTTATGAAAACTTTTATCCCGGATAAAGAAATTAGAAATAGTATCACTGAAATTCAAATAGGTAATGCAATTATTTCAGTGACCTGTTTATAGTTTCTCTGAATTCTATTTCAAGTGTGAAATAAGAATGCAAAACCAAGCATTAGTATCAAGCATTCAGCATATGTAAAATGTCTGCTAGAACAAGTTGTTTCCCTCTCAGAGCAGAAAGGATGGCAATTTTTAAAGGAAATAGGAGACCAAAGACTGATAGGGCACCTTATCACTATATGGTGATCGTAAGATAGAATTAGAGAACTTTTAACGGGGTTGAAGCATTGAATCATCTGAGTGGCCAAATGACACTCAA